AAAAATATTATTAACGCAAAATAAAAAACATATGTTTCCAATAAAACATTATCAAAAATATTATTGTCGGGCTTCAGGCTTAACCTAAATCCATTTAATCGAACTTTATTGTTAACTATTCAAAACTGGACTTCTAAGGCATCCACTTTGGCAACTGTTGATACTCGCTTTTACAATTGTCGCAGTGCAATTAATTTAACTTAAGTTCAGCGCTGTTTGCAAGGATGACAAATTAACTATTGAATACTTATAGGAATGTTAACACGGAAACATGCTTGTACGGAACCTCTTTGAACTTCCTTTAGTGCTTATACCTTTAACCTTTGATTTATCTTCTGTATCTTTAATTTTACTTGGTAGAAGCACTATTTTTGATTTTTGGAGGTTGTTTTTGGATTATTAAGCCCTCCAAAAGCACGTATATAGAGAACTAACTAATTAACTTGCTCCCGGTGCGCACTTTATCTCGTGCGCGGATCATTTTGATTCGTGTATAAGCTTGTGTCGCACCCTAAATTTGACCGCGAATGCAGCAGGTAAACTTTTAGAATTGTATAGTCAAATCCAATGGCAAATGCATAGGTTAGCTACTTTGTGGGTAGGCTAGGCGCATTTGTGCTTTGAACGGTTTGCTCGAATCTTGGGAGTATTCGTTAAATTTTTTTTATTACACACTATAATGGACGTAAAGATTACTGTTCCATCTCGAGGTTCATTATCCTGCAAGCGCACGAAAAAGATCGTGCCTATATATAAATTTCGTGTCAAACTCGAACGTTAGTCCTCGAAGGAGCCAGCTGGTTTCGACCTATGGTTCTCGACAGGTTGTCGTCCTAAGGTGGAATGTCGTTCGGAAGTAAATTTATCTTTGGTCGGGTCATGTCACCCTCTATTTTCCAATAGTGTCATCAAGGATGTTTCAGGAAGCCCTCTGCTGGGTCGGATTTGCATTAAACCCAGACTAAACATGGCTAGTATACGAGTTTATACGTGAACTCATAAATAACAATTCAAACCAATGGAACGTAATTATGGTGCCTTCCTGATTGAAGCTGTAAACTGTGAGCTGAACTGTACTTAGGAAAGTCGCAGGCTGCAATAACTAGCTAACCATAAATAAAATTATGCTAGGGACTCACGGTTGGAAACAACTACTTTTAAAACTGACAAAAACTTAGAGTTTGATAAAGTCCTTTGGCAGATGAAACCTTCTCTGTATCTTAGACGCAATTTTAGCTAACTAAAGCTGACAAGCTTGTCACGAGAAATTGTAGCTCGAAAGATGACTTTATAGCGTCATTTTAACAATAAAACACAAATAGATAACATACAAACTTATTACTTGTTGGATCGCTGCACGTTGAGTACTAGCATCGCCTTTCAAAACAGTTTTAAATCTAAATTGTTCAGAAAGATGTCTTAGTTAACTTGAAAACTAGGTAAATAGTTAATGAACACAGCTAAGTTGATAAACTAAGCTTTTTTGCCTGTTAGTAGCAAAGACGAACGCAGACGGAAGGACGGGTTTACCACTGAGTGATTTTTTACTAGGACTATTGCTCTGTCCCGGAGCCCTCGGTGCCTCGGACTCTTTGTAGCTCTACCTTTTGTTGCATTGGACTCGGGCGCCGGTGTGTACTCACACTTAATATTGTGAGTACTTTATAGTCCTAGTAACTAGTAATATATATATTATGGGGTCGCTCCCTTTCTCGCTTCATTCTCGCGTTCTTTGTTTTCTTACTTCGCTTTTCACAGTGGGCCCCAGTTCTATAGGTCTGGATTGGCCCTATTACAGTTAATAGTGTTACTAGTCCTGATTCTAGTTTATGTGGCCGAACAAAAGATTTATAGATCACCTATAGGAGGATAATTTAAGTAACTAATAGTTTAATATGGTTAATATGGTTAATAGTAATTATTTATTTCTATAGATAAAATTACTGATAGATAAGGCTTGGTGTTTATAGGTTAATAATATATTAACAAGGAGAAAGAAATTGAGAGCAAAATATAGGACCTCTTGGATTCCTAGCGATAAAAGACTTTACAACAAGATAAACAACTAAGTCAAAGTGGAATTAAGAGCTTGATTTAATGAGAGCTAGAAGAAGAAATTAGACCCTTCCGGATTATGGGACAACCCCCTATGAAATTAGCAATGGTCATTAGATCTAGTACTGACAGCCCTTCTATAGTTCTGGGAACCCTTCGGAATTGTAGAGGCATTTGCTGATTTATTAAAAACTCACTCATCCGGGTCAGAGCTTGAGGAAAACGAGCGTCAACCCAAACTCATATCCACAGTGGTCGCTGCTTATCTTCTAAACCTAATATATGTAGCAATGTTAAGCTTACTGCAGTTTAAGAACTTGAAATCACTACTCAACCCTCAAAGTACAAAGGAAACCGTGAGACCAACTATATTTTATTTTTTTGCTTAATATACCAATCTTAAAACCTGTCTTTTTAATGTCAAGGTTAATTAATCAAATACTTACCCTCCTGTTTCCCAATCTAGTGGAAATTAGCACAGTCATTTTTATTTCTATGCTTCTCAGCAGTTTAATGCTGTCACCCAAAAAGCTTGTGGTCATGCCTTTTGCATTTTACCAAATTTTTAATTTGGATTCTTAAGAAATTAATCGGCCGCGCACCAAATACTTGGACTTACGGAAAGGCTACATGACCCATAGGGTTTTATATAGATATATAATAGGAAATAACACTATTTAAATAGTGTGCGTAGCCGGTGGGCCACAGGAAACAAACATGACATTAATGTAGCTAGGGAACAGTAGAGTAGTAACAGGTGGGCTCGGTGATTTAAGTATTGAAGTGACTTTTAAAATATATGGCATGACGGCCTAGTTTATAAATTGATTACTGCTAGCTTTCTTTCTTATTTGATTATTACTGTATTACCTTCATACCTAACAAATAGAAAAAACTTTACTGCTAGCGTAAACTCAATGAAGTCCGTTTTCTCCGAACGGTGGAGGATACCACTGTGTGTGCGCGCAACAACCATTACGTAAAAGTATAACCTAAATTTTAGCCAGAAGTCATCATTATAATATTGTAAAACAGTCTCTTTATTATGACTCTCGCCACCACACAGAGTATTTGGATCCAAAACATTATTTAGACCTTTTCGAGGGATGAATATGGCTAAGATTATTGTTATATTGTATTAATTAATAATGTTACTAAAGTTTAACTATACCAATATGATATTTATTATTGTTGATTTTTTACTATTTTGCTGCTGCATTTTTCTTATTATGTAAGCCATATAGCTGTTATGATATAGCGCATCCCTTCTCAATACACCCTAAACTAACCAAAACTGCATGTTTACCTTACCACAAGTGATCCATTTAATTAAACGGAAAAAGTACCTTACTAACTTCCTCTTACTTGGCATAAACGATAACTCGTTTAAAAATTAGCGACTTTTTCATTAAGGTTTAGGGTTTGTGTTTAGAATTAAGGTAAACTTCAAAACGAAGCAGATAATTGTGAAGGCCTTTGGCTTTTTTTTTAGGCACTGGCATACTAAAACAGGTTAAATACGTAAAACCACTTTGCTGGATCGTTGTAGCTTAGCGGTTCAGAGCATTTACGCGCAGCTCAAAAAGTGAGTCTGATTCCCACCGACGCGACACCTCTTTTTCGGTATTTGATGGTCGCAAATTTAATCTCACCCGTATAAATTCTAGTAAACTACGGCCGGTCTTCTTAAAAGACCTTAAACCGCTTAATCTGAATTCCCCTCTTCAGCAGGGGTTAGGATTAGGGTTGCCCATCAGTTTACGCTCTTTATAAGGTTATAACAACTACCCAGAAGGACTGGAAAAGTGAGAAATCTTTGAACCGGGCACCAACCATCTGGTGTAGTTTAGTGGAAACCGCTAAAAACCACCACCATGAGAGTCGCCGTCAGGCACAAGACCCGTGACCACCTGGAGAACACCGGCCAGTCCCACTGCCAGTCAGGCCACCCCGACTATGAGCTCCTCATTCACAAGGAAAGAACCTCTTATGGGTTTTATTAGCTATATACATTATATGTATAGTTTAAAAAAAGATAGATTGGATAAACAAAAACTATTTGACTACTAGGAAATCAAAATGCATACATAATTTTAGCAATAACTAGGGGTATTAGTCAATCGACGTTTATATTTTTAGTGTTTTGTTATTTTCCTTATTCTTGATTGTAAATCACGTCTTTAGCAAGTCAGTGCTAGAAATAAGTACATAAGTAACTTAATAAATTAACTATTAATTCTCCTTTTACTATTCTCGTTTTACCCTCAAGGGCCGCTTTAGCGTATATTTTAAAGGCACTTAGTCAAGGTAAGTACTTATCCCAGTCCAGTATGGTTATAATATCCAAGGGACCTATAATATTTGAAAATTACAGCGCCAACTCTTTCTTCTATTCACCTTTATTGACTTGGTTAAGTTATGCAAAATTTTATAAAATTTTATCTCTAAACAGCTCAGCAATAATAATTACTATTATTTATTTTATTGAAGGCGATGAGGAAAACAGAAATATAAAGTAGCGAGTTGTAATTTTATGAAAACATTAGAGTATAACCTTTGTAGTAATTATAATAACCAATTTTTATTCAAAAAAACCGATTCTGGTGGCTAAAATTGTAATAAAATAACTCTACAAGGGTAACACTGGGTCGCGGTGGTACGTGCGCCTTAGTAGGTTTATAAGTATTATTAGTTGCTTGACATTCACTAACCACTTAAAATATCATCCGATGTTACTGTTTGAGTCTTAATTTCAGATAGTTAATGGGCGCACATGGCGCCCGAGAGGTATCATGTGCCTCTTTATTTGGATAAGGCAAACGCGTTCACAAAGTTAACATAAAACACTTTCTAAATGGTAAAAAGTATATCTCGTGAAAGGTTTTGTCCCCATGACTTGAATGAGAGCGAAAATGGAACTTATTTAGATGAAGTAGATACTTTTATGAAGAACAGAGATAAAATTTTACTCTCGGAGGACTCCTTTTCAGGAACAGATACAGAAGTTGTTCCTATACTTAATTCTGATGAAGAGGATGAAGAGACAGACGAGGAAAAAGAAATAAAACATTTTGAAATAGAGGAGAAAGATAAGGTATGCTTATCATAACATATTATAAGATCAAGATTTTACGATTTTTATTGCTTTTAATATAACGTCTTTATAATAAATAGAATAGAAATTATAGTAATTGGGGAAAAAAGAATTCCTACTATAACACAGACGTGGAAGAGGTGGAATATGGTAGTGAAGAGGATGCTCAAGATGAGGAAAAAGAAGCGTTAAAGTTACAAAAAGAACATTTAAAAGATCTTGAGGAATCTGATTTCTACAGTTTAGAAAATTGGAGACCTTTAAGCGATTCTAAGTTGGCCACAGCAAGTAGTTTTATTTTTTTAAGAACTTCATAATTTTGTAATGCGTATTATATTAATTTTTTTTTAATATTATTCAGTTTGTTTATTTAACTAATTTTTCTTTTTATTTTTTTACTGGCAGTTTTATTTTTTTGAAACGTAAAAATTTGTTTTTACATTTTTTTGCTTATTTATTAATCGTATGGAAGTAAAATATTTCTATTATAAGGTTAAGATATAAATTTAGTTTACAAACATATTATTATTGATAAATGTTATTAACTGAACACTTTTTTATTTAGTATTCTAGTGTTAACATTGTTAATATAGTTTATTTATAAATTTTAGAAATCAGTTGCTGGCTCAATGAAGTTAATATCGCTCTTTATTAGTTTTTTACTATTTTATTAGTTGTAATAGTTTTTATATAACATTTTTGCTATAAATTTGATTTATAACTATATGATTTTACTGGAAGACGGGGAAGTTTATTTGCCTGACTCTGATTCTGAACTTGAAAACAATAAACAGATTATAATTTCTAAAAATTTAAATAATTTAACCGTGGAAGAACGTCTGAAAATTCTTAAAAAAGATTCTCCTGAACTTTATGAATTTCTAGAAGAATTTCAGATGACTTTTTCTGAATTGACTAAAGATGTTTTTGTAATATTTTTTCTTAGTAATTTTTTTTAATTTAATTTTTTTGTTATTACATTTAGCCAGTTTTGAAACCTTTTAATTCTGAAAATCCCATTTCTTTGTATTATTCAGTAAAGGCTCATCTTTTGTTAAATTATCTTATGAATCTCTCTTTTTACTTTTTAATTAAATCTGAAGGCGCTGTTGTGAAGGTATTTAAAAATTAAAATTTTTAATTAAATTAATTTTTTTGAAATGTTTACATATACCTAGGAACATCCCGTTATAGCACAGATAGTAAAACTTCGCAACTTTATGGAAAGATTTCAAGAGCTTGATGAAGATGCTTTAAAGTGTCATAAATATTTATATAAATTGCTACTAATTATTTTTACTTCTGCATTGATTTTATTACTTATAAATGTTTTATTTAAAAAGTTTGTCAAGTCTGTATAATACTTGTATGTAATCAATTTTTTAATTGTAAATTAATTTTAAAAGTAAATTAATTTATTTTGTAACTATTAATTAACCTGCTTTTAATTTATGTTACTTTTGCATTTGTTTTACTTTTTTTTGTTTGGGTGTTTTAAATACTTTATGAATGTGTACTAATTTATGTTTGCAACTTATTGCTTATTTTATTTTAATAAACTAAATTAGATTGTTTTTAACATCCATAAATAAATTAGTTCATTTTTTATAAATTTTTTTTTGGTGAATTGATATGATTGTAAAAATAATTTTTAAAAGTAAATTTATATTTATAATTTAGAACTTGAAAGCTTCCATTTCTTTTTTTTTGCATTAATTTATTTAATTTATAAAAGTTACTTATTTACTTTAATTGATGATTGTAGTTTAATTTATTTACGTAATTTAAATTAATTTTAATTCTTTTAACGTTTAATTTTTCTACATTTTTTTTTTAATGTTTATATTTTACCAATGCAAAATTTATTCATGTTTGTAATTATTATCTAATTTATTTTTAAAATTTTAATCTAATTTCATTTATTCATTTTCTTATTATTTTTTAAATATAACTAAATATTAATATTTGATGTAAAATATTTTTATAGTAATTTAATTTATGATCGAAAAAACATTAAATTAATTCGATTGCTCCCAATTTTTTACTTCTACATTTTTATTAATTTATAGCTTAAGTAAAATATTTTATAATTGTAAATTATTTATGATTGTAATTCACTTTTAGGCGTAAACTATTTTTTAAATAATTTATAATTTTGTGTATATATTTTTTAAATAGTAATTTTTAATAACTTTTAGTGTTTCTGATTCTCCCGGGGATCGAAATTCCAAACGTTCAGTCAAAATTTTAAACAAGAAAAAATTAAAAAAAAAAGAATCACTTAAAAATCCGAAAATTAATTTCAAAGTTGATTTTAATGTGGATAATTTGTTTCATTCTTCTGCTGCAAATTTTAAATCAGAAAAAGAAAAGTTTTTCTTTTTTCTTATTAATTTCCTTTTTTTAAAAATATTTTGTTTCCCTCTTCTGCTGCAAATTCTGAACAAAAAGTATTTTATTATATATTTTATTGAATTTTATTTTTTAAAAAAAATTTGTTTCAGTCTTTCATGGCCATATAAATTCCGTATATAAAAAGTTTTTTAATTTTTTTCGTTGCCACATATTTTTATAAATTTTTTTTTACGTTAGTACTTAATTTTAGTTTTTAAAAATTCATTTACGATTTTTATATTATTTTTAAGACATTTACTTTTATTTTTAGTCAATTCCTTTTAAAATCTTTATGTTATTGTTACTATTATAATGGTTATTACTATTTTTATTGATATTTTTAGTTATAATTATTATTTGTTCTTTATATTTCAATTTAATTTTTATTATTTTATATCTTTAAATTTTTATTGTTTGTTTTTTTTTAAGTATTTTTATTAGAAATTTATTTAATAATAACTTTTTTTAATTAATTATAATTCGATATATATATATTCAATACTTTATTTTTTGTTTTTTACATTTCATTTTTATTTAAAATTTTCTTATCCAACTTTACGAGTTTTATTATTTCTTAAAAAGATTTTATAAATTTATTTTTAATTTATTTTTACCCCCTTTTTTTCTTATTAATTTTTAATTACACTTTTTTATTTAATATTATATTTTATTATGTAATAGATTTTTACGAAAATTATGATTTTTTTTAAATTTGTTTTGAGCAGAATTTATTTTTTTTAATTGTGACGTCTTTCTAATGTTAGATTCTTATAATCATTAAAATTAATATATTTTTTAGTAAAGGTAATCTAAAAAAATAAGTAATTATAAAATATATTATATAATTTTATTAATCCTATATTTTTATTAAGATCAAAAGATTTGGAAAATCATGTGGTTCCGAATCCACCACGTGGCAAATCGGCCTTACTGAAATATGAAGGTAATATTTATAGAAAAAATTATACATTAATCACTGGTCAGTGTGTTTTAATTAACTAATAAGAGGGTTTTAGTGAGTTTTCTATCATAATTTTTTCTTTTTGCTGGTAATTTATACTATTAACTGTCGATGTTTGAAGATTTATTTTAATAATAATTTTGTTAAAATATTTTATTATGTAACTTATAAACTTTTTTGTGTTTATTGGAACTTTTCTCGTTATAATTTTAATTATTAAATGATTGAATGAATTTTTTTTTACTTCTAATTAATTTAAATTTACTAAATTTTTTAATTTAATACATTATTATAAAGTTTTTTTATTTTTATTACAAAAATAGTATCAAAATTTATATATTTTTTAGTAGTAATATTAATTAACTTTTCGGACTTTTTATATTAATTATCTTTATAAATTTTTAAAATTATTATATTAACGATTAATCTTTTTATTTTTTTTAATATAAATTATATTTTTTATCTTTTTAGATATATTAAAATTTTTTATTATTTTCTTTTTTATTTAATTATTATTTCGGTTGATTTTTTAATATTATACTTTAGGTTATATTTTTTTTTCATTATTATCAAAAACAATTTTTTTATGTATGATATATAAAGTTTATATAGTTATAAAAAAATGAAAAAAGCATTACATAAAAATATTAATACTTACTAATTTTCTTTTTTACTATTAATTCTATTAAATTTTATTAATAATTATAATTTTACTACTAAAAGTTTATTTTATGTACAGGAATTTTATAGCTATTAATATAAAATATATTATATTTTGATAATTATAATTATATTTAAATATTAATATTGATAATACTTTATATTTTAATTTTTTATAATTTTTTATAGAATTATTATTTATAATAATTTTTTGGATAAATTTTTTTATATTTATTATTATTATTATTTTCATTAATTATATTTTATCAGATTTGTGTTATTTTTTTTGTTATATTTATTTTATATATATATTTATATTTTTTAAAAAAAAAAAAAGTTAAGAAAACTTTCTTTTTGTAGAAAATCTTAATTGTAAGAAAATGAATGAACTTTGCAAGCAGAAATCTGGCGATCACGACTCTTTTTATAATAATAATAATAGTAGTAGTGGTAATAATAGCAATAATAATAGTAATCATAATAATAATCATAAAACTTTGCTGAAAACTGCTGATGATAATATGAAAAGCGAAATTACTAGTTCTGAAAGTCTTTTAAAAAAAAGAAAAAAGCCAAAGAAACGTTCCAAGTCCAAAAAGTTTGCAACTAATAATAATAATATTTTGTTATATTTTCTTATTTGAAAGAATTTTTTCAAAAAAAAAAGTTTAAAAAAAAATAGTTACTTAAAATAATATTCAACATACAAAAGTATAAATAATATATTTTATTGTGTTTATGACGATTTTTTAAATAAGATTTATTATATTTATAATAAATAATAGTTTTCAAAAAATAGCTTAACTAAAATAATAATATTAAGTCGAATTCGTTATAATTTTTATACAATAAAAACTATTCTTTGAGACTTTTTGGTATACTTATTATATTTTTATAAAGATATTTATTTCAGTATAAAACTTTTATTATAATTATTTCTGTATATACTTAAATTGTTTTTCTACTTGTTATTATACTTTTATATGTTTTATGAAAGTTTTCATCTGTTTGATTATGTTTCTATCTAAGAATATTAGTTTTTTTTTATTTATGTTCTATATTATATATTTACTTATTCAATAATACGAAATAATAAAAGTTTTTCCACGATTTTTTTAAATTAAAAATATAAATAAAATATGAAATCTAATAATTAATTTTGTAAAGATTTATAAATAAATAAAATATTTAATAAACTTTTTAATTATATTACATGTTTAGAAATAAGTAAGTAATAGTGTTCTTTAAAATATAATAGTATGCGAGTTTTTTTATTCGCTAGTTATTTTTTTTGAAAACTTTTTCTTTTAGTGTGATTTTTTTTATAAAGTTTATTTTTTTCGTATATATAAAATAATAAAGTAACTATTATGTTTGCAAGTTTTTTGAAATTTTTCTTAATATGTTATTTTTTTATTTTGTAAATATTTTTTGGGTATGTATAACATAATAAAGTATTTATATTTGGAAAATTTTCTTATTGTGTTAATATGATATTTTATATAAAATTTCTGAGAAATCCTATACAAGTATCATAATTTTTTTTCTTGTATAAAAAATATTGCAATATGATTATAATATAATAAAAATTCGTAAACTTTTTTAATAATTTGTTGGTATTATATTTTCTTATAAATTTTTTTAGAAATATATGAAAAGTATAATATAATTTTTTTTGTATTAAAAAATAATAAAATATTATTATCAATATACTAAAATTCTTGTTTTCTATAGAATTTTTATTAAAATATATAAAAGTTATATAAATATAAAAATTATACTTTTTTCTAGTAATAAAATATT